CTTCAACTCTTAGTTGCTTTTCAATATGTAATCTCAAATTTATTTTTCTATAATTTTATAGAAAATTCTAGAGGCCTGGTACACAAAATTCGTATACTGGGGGCTGGAGGTGTCCCCAGCCCAGCCTGCACCCTGTCTAATCTGGGACCCCTCAGGGGATGTCTGACTACAGTACATCCCTCTCACAATTCAGGACTGTTGGCTCCCAATCACTCACCTGCCTGCCAGCCTGATCACCCCCTAATCACTCCCCTGTCAGGCTGATTGATGCCTAACTGCCCTCCCCTGCTGGCCTGTTCCCCCCCAATTCCCCTCCCCTGCAGGCCTCATCCCCCCCAACTGCCCTCCCCTGCAGGCCTGGTCCCCCCCAAATGCCCTCCCCTCCTGGCCTGATAGCCTACAACTACCCTCACCTGGCAGCCATCTTTTGGCAGCCATCTTTGACAACATGGAGTGGCCATCTTGTGTGATGGTGTGAGGGTCAATTTGCATATTACCTTGTGGTCGTAGTGGAGATATGATCAATTTGCATGTTTCTCTTTTATTAGTATAGATTATTATTATTAATACATTAGCCAATCAAAATTTTGTTGGCGGTTATAGTGACAGGAAACCAAGTCCCTGCCTTGCCCTAATGGGCAGTGTGACTCCCCCATGGGCTCTGCCACTGGACTCAGTTCTCTCAGTTCTCCAAGGGGCCGAGCTAGAGATCCTTTAGCTCCTTCCAACTATCCCATGTAGAGAATCTGAGGAAGCTCTACTTCTGTGACTGTTTCAGATGGATTATCCCCCACCAGGAATGGGCCAGAAGAGTGGAAATTAAATAAGAGGGAAATCAGGACAAAGAAGGACGAGGCTGTCTGCATGGGGAAGGAACCACACCTTGCAGGAATGAACCCAGGTTCCATTAAAAGTGAAAATTAAGTTACGCATTAGACCACTTAGGCTTGTTTTCTTTCCAGCTGTTTTTGACCATCATTCAGCAGGGCCTCTTACTGAATAATGCTTTCCAGAGGTGGAAACTGGCACCTTTTTAACTGTGGGGCTGGGGTGGGGCATGGTTTTGCTTTTGTTTTAGAATCACTAAGCTGCCCAGGAGCCTACCCTGCTCCACCCCTGGTAAGGGATGGTCTCTGCTTAGGGAATGGAGGGTCAGGGCACCCTCAACCTGAACTACACATGGCCAACAAGATTGCCCTGTTTTTTTTCAGTCTTTCTACAACCCAGACCACTGGGCCCAGCCATACTTCCAGCCTTTTATCACGCTGTTCCCTCTGCCTGAGCATCCCTCCCTCCTTTTCTGCCTGTTCTCAAGGATCAGATTAAATGCCCCTCTCTGCCCCTCCACCCCATCCCAACCCGGCAGAATTAATGTTACTTTCTCTGTGTTACCACATTGCTATGAGCTCCTTAAGGGTGAATTCCAGTCTTCTAAGCACAGCTCCTGGCACAAGCTGGGGCCTCAAAGCATGCTTGTTGAATGAGTAAAGGATGAGACTGGCCCACATGCCAACAGTGCTTTGTATTCATGTGTAATGTACAGTCAGTTCCCAAGCACTTCCCGCCTGCCCCACCCTCACCCCCCCCCAACTTGGGCCACCCATCACCATGAAAGGACTCAGCCTGGTCCCTGTTCACACAACACATCTGGCCAGTCAACTGGGCTCTTTCTGCATGTCCCTCCTCCTCTCCACACTGTGAGACTCATTCAGTTCACTTGGGGTTGGGGCAGTAAAAGAGACACTAATGTCCAAGTCCCATAGCCCATGACTCTACATGTCTGGCCCTGATGAAAGTCCCCCAAATCCATCACTTCACCATGAAGGCATCTCGAGTTGCTTTTCTGAGATAGCCTATGGTGTGACTCCCGACTGCCGTTCCAGCCCTCACCCTGCTGGCTGTCCTGAATCCCATCTTTGTTCAGCTTTCAGAGTCTTGGCCTGAGGGGCTGGCGTTCTGAGGCTGCCTTACCAGGCTGTGTGGGAAATCTTTGGCATTTCATCAGGAACTGTCCTAAATGTGATGTTCCGCCCCTACCCTAGTCAGTTATGTCTGCTAAGATGCAGCAGATAATTATATGTGGGGTCCTGGACTAGGAGAAGCAGAAGGGGCTTTGAAGAACACTGGTTCAGAGTGTGGTCCCCAGGCCCGCACATCAGCAGCCTTTGGGAGTAGGCTGACCAACCACCCAGTGTGCCCAAGATTATGCAGGCTTAACGTTGAAGGTTTCTTACTCAGAGACATCCCTCCAACTTGGGCAAATCAGACCCTGCCTAGGAATGAAGTCCCAGGCTCCCACCCCAAGCCTAGAATCTGACACCCTGAGGCCAGGCTGAGTGATCTGTTTTTGTTTGTTTGTTGTTTGTTTTAATATATTTTATTGATTTTTTACAGAGAGGAAGAGAGAGGGATAGAGAGTTAGAAACATCAGTCAGCTGCCTCCTGCACACCCTCTACTGGGGATGTGCCCACAACCAAGGTACATGCCCTTGACCGAATCAAACCCGGGACCTTTCAGTCCACAGGCTGATGCTCCATCTTCTGAGTCAAACTGGTTTTGGCTGAGTGATCTGTTTTAATAAGTCCTCCAGATAATTTTTTTTCACACCTTAAAAATATTATTTATATAAAAAACACTCATTTGTGTTTAAAAGCATTAACGAGAGAAAGAGAAACAGAAGAGGTGTGGAGTAACAAGCATGCCCCTTACAAGTGTCTGGGGAAAGGTGTGATATTTGGTTTTCTGGATTTCAATGGTGTGTTTATAAATGAAAAGAAAAAAAAAGACCCAAGAGCCCATGGTTGTTCTGTTACCCACACCCCGCCAAGAAAAAGGGCACCAGCAAAAGAGCAGAGAGGACAAGAAAAGCCAAGAGTGCGGTCACTGGGACATGAAGTACTTTAGTTCAGGACACGCCGCGGGGAAAGGACAAGGCCAGCTTTCAGACCCAAGCATCAGACTCCACGCTGGCACTGACACTTCTGCCACCCAGCACAGGGCCTCGCACGTGGGGAACAGTGGGGAAAGAGCGCTGAACAACGGGGATAGGAAACTGCTACCAACCATTAGCCTGTGACTTCAGAGAGGTCATTTGAGAACGTAGGTCTTAACTCAGCCATGTTTACTTCTCATTCCTTCTGCAGAAGCTGAAGTAAAGTGAGCCGGGCAGTTTCCCCTCACCTTGACACTCTGTGGTTCTATCTTCTCTACCACTAATGGCTAGGATTTTACCATTAGAAATGTGTTTCTTTGTGGTATATCTTGTCTAAACTCCTTTTTAAAAAATACAATTTCCTTTAGTGGGCCCTGAGAATGCTCCGTGGCGTGAGTCCAGTGGGCCCTGGTTGGGCAGGCAAATGGAGGAGAGAATGCAAAAGGGAAAGGCTGGGCCCCAAACAGTCACTTTACTAATGGCCCCAGCGGCCAGAGAGCTCGGTCAGGCCTCCGCAGAAGGACCTTATAATAGCTCCCGTTCCAGCCGCCTGGCTGACCCCATCTATCACCATTTTGTAAAACTTTTTTTATAGGCTTCTTTTTTCTCCTTTTGTGTTTTTTTCCACCAGCCTGCGTCTCAGACTAAATTAGAGAAAAATGGGTTTTGTCTTTTTTTAACAAGAAGACTAAAAGTCTTAAATTACCTCTTCAAGGTCTGCAAATAGAAAGGCCAAATAAGACAGCCACCTTTTCATTTCTCCCTTCCTCTCTCGCTGTCCCAGGAGCCCTGGAGCTTGAAATAAAAGGCAGAGCACTGGCTCAGGAGGAAGTGATCTGGGCTTAGCCAGCACCAGCCAAGGAGAAGGAGCAGGGATGTGGCAAGGAGGGCCCAATGGAGGTGGGGAATGAGGGAAAAGAGATGGAAATGGGCCAACCCCATGCCTGTTGGTTCTAGAATAAGAGGGGCTCTCTAAAGGGAGATGGTTTCTTAAGGGGCACTTCTCTGAGAATGAGTGTGGTGTGCAGGAGCTGGGGGCAGGGGCCTGCGGAGAAGAGGAAGCCACTCAGGCAGTGGTTCAGACTTACTGAGAAGCCAACGGGATTCCCGGGCACAATGAATCTCCTCCACCTTTGTCACCAGTTGACGTCACAGCTTCCAGAGAATCCATCAGTGGGCATCAGGGCAAAGAGAGGAAACATGGTTCTGGGGCAAAGACTAGGAATTTTAGTGCTGGAGTCTGGGGTTCTGATCCCTGCTACATGTAATAATAATAGCTAACAGATGTGCTAAACTCCTATCAGAGATTAATCCACTTAATCTTCAAAACAACCCTGCAATGGTTATCATTACTATCCCCATTTACAGATGAGGACACCATGGGACAGGACTTATCCAAAGTCTCACACACTTTGTGGCAGACTCAGGTGTGATATCAGGGAGCCAGACTCCAGCGCCCTTGTACTCTTCCTGTCAAACCACTAAGCCTCCCCACCTGCTTCTTCATTTAGAAAGTTGAGGTGCAGGGAATGATAGGGTGGACTAGACAACTGTCAAAGTCCTTTGCAGCACAGATGCTGTGAATTGGGGCTCATGCTTCACCCATGCATGCAGAGGTCCTACTCAAATGATGCAGAGTGCAGGATTCTGATGCAAAACAGGTATGGTGTGTGTGTGTGTGTGTGTGTGTGTGTGTGTGTGTGTGTGTGTGTGTGTAAGACACGTAAGGTTGTGTCTTGCAAACCTGATGAGACAGGAGAGAAAATAAGAACACAACAAGGCCAACACAAAGTCTTTAGGAAGACTCGTAGATTACATCTGTGTCAACAGGACAAAACCAAAATCTTGACAATTCTGCCCAACTCACCTCCATGTATCAGTAGCCTTTGCATTTCCCTGCTCTATGTTCCGGGTTTAACACCCATAGCCTCAGACTCCCCTGACCAGACAGGATAGTCATTCCTCTGAGGGGCACCTTGCCAAGGAGCTCTGGCTCTGGGAAGGACAAGATGGTTCCCTGTGAACCCCCAGCCCAGCATGCATGTCTCCTTTGCAGGCCCAGCTACCATGGCCCATTATAAGGCTGAGCAGGATGACTGGCTGGTCGTCTACCTGAAGTATTTACTCTTTGTCTTCAACTTCTTCTTCTGGGTAAGTGGATTCTGCACACACATACCCCTTCTGGCACCAAATTACTTAAGCTACCTTTTTTGTGTGTGAGTCACCACTCTGGGGTTGATTTCCTCCAAATCAAAGACCACCCATGGGCAAATTCTGCCTACTTGAAAGCAAACATGTACATTTGCTACTGAGGAGGAAGAAAAAATCCGGTCTGCAGGTTGGCATGGAGTTTGTACCACATGCCATCTGAATAAAGGAAGCATAAACATAACAATGAGCTTTGTGTTCCTGCTGGCTGTACAAAGGGTCCAGCTCTTTCTTCCCTGCTAACTTGCACCAGTGCCTTGTGGGAAATGTGACTGCCTGAAATAATTGCCTGTTTTCCATCGAAGCCCATTTGCCTTCCGTGGCTCACAGAGAAACAGAAGTCCTGAGGGCCGTGGGCGGCTGCCTCTGTGTGAGATGGGAATGGTCTCTATAGTGACTCCCCTCAGGAAACCCACCAGTGGGGTCTTCTAGGAGGGAAATCTGTCCACTTGAAGCAAGTATCAGGATAATCAGAAGCAGAGTACTGCTAGTTCCCAAAAATAGTCAGGCATGGGATAGAAACATGTTGTGTTACAGTCTCACTAAATTTGTAGAGGCAGAGTACTGAGAGTGCAGGCTTTGCCATCAGATGGACCAAGGCTCTACTGTTACAAGGCCATCAGATGGACCTTAGGCACGCCACTTAGGTTGGCTGAGTCTCCCGGCTACAAAACAGAGATCATTTCTAACCTTTTAGGGTTTGTCAAAACCAAGACAACAATTCCAAAATAAAGTCACTTACGCTAAGCTCCACATCACCAAAATGAGACTTAATTACACTTTTGGTCCTCCCAGAAGTGGAATCTTAAACCAGTCTACCAGAAATCACCTGATCAGCACTAGTTAAATAATTTTCCTAATGGACCTCTGCCATCCCCTCAAAGAAAGTGAGTTTGAAACGACTAACCTGTATAATTTCCTTGTTCTGGCTCCCTTCTGCCTATAAAAGTCTCTCATTTTATGGACTTGGTGCTCCTTATCTGCTGCCTGATTTGAATTGATTTTGATCAAATAAACTCAAAAAGTTTAATATGCCTCAGTTTATCTTTTAATAGTTCATTTAGCAGATACCCTGAAATGGTACATATTAAGTGCTTAGCTCAGTCTCTGCACATAGAAAGCATTTGATAAACTCAATGTTTCAGATACATTAGGTGTAGAAGGCCTGAAAACTCTACCAAATCAACCTGCCGATTAGAGAGAGCTGAGATGCCTGCTCACATGGAAGGGGTACACCCCCTTGACAAAGTCCTAGAAAATCTCAGAAATGCAAAGTCAGAGATAGGATATGTCTGCATTTTTAGGTTCTTTCATTAAGATTACTAAAATAGTTAAGACTGGGAAGGATCACTGGTTTAGGATTAGTGGATACAGCAAGGCAAGGGTTCTGAAGAGTCTTGGAGAGTAGACAGTCATTTGATGCTCTTAAAAAGTCAAACAACTTGATCTTTGTTTAAATGGTTTGTTTTGAAAAGTTCCTGAAATAAACAGTAAACTTATTTTATTTGCAACTTGTATCTTCCTAGGCAAGTGTTTCCTGGAATAGTGATGTTGAGTTGATGAAGACAGTGGAATAATAGAGCCATGTTGATGTGAGCCATGTGGGTACAGATAGGTTCAATTCTCAGAGAAAAATCCAACAGGGTGTTTAGGATTCTCGATGAATGAGAATTATTTTTAAAGAATAAGTATGTTTTTCCTGATCATAAAATTCTTGTGTACACTGTACAAATAATTTCTAAAAGACTGAAAAGAAAATTAAAATTGTCCATATCTCACTATTTTAGGTTGCTAGGATTTTCATAAAGAAGCACCATAGGCCATGTGGCTCTAAACAACAGAAATTTACACTCTCACAGCTCGGAAGGCCAGAAGTCTAAAATCAAGATGTCAGCAGGGCTGTGCTCCCTCGGAAACACTGGGTAGAATGTCTCCTTGCCTCTTCCTGGCTTCTGGTGGTGGCTGGCCGTCCTTGGTTTCTTTGGTATTCCTTGACTTGCAGCTACATCACTCTTCAAATCTCTGCTCTGTTCTTAAATGTTGTTCCTGTGTCTTTGTCTTCACATGGCCTTTTCTTCTTCATTAGGACCACCTAATGACTTCACCATAATTCTGCCAACTTTCTGTTTCCAAATAAGGTCACTTTCATAGATAGTAGGGTTAGGACTTTAAATTTTGGGGAGACACAATTCAACCCATAATACCATCACAGGAATGACCATTATGACTTTCCCTCTAGCCTTGTCCTGATGAAGACAAGAGATGGTGGGTAACCTGCATGGTGGGAGTCACAGTGGGGATAGAAAGAACTGAAGAGAGTCAAGGGACAATGACAAGATTAGGTCATTAATTGGGTGGGATTAAGAGGAGAGAGGTGTTTAGAAAATGGGTTATATTATAGATGTTTATAGCTCTTGGGTTGATAGTCGAGCTCTTTCTTGCAATGGAAACCAAATGGCAGGTCAGATGTAGGCTTGGTGAGTTTGAGTTTCCAGGAGACATCTGAGCAGAGATGCTCATTGGGCAGTTAGTTCATGACTTTGGATCTTAGATGGGGGTCATCCCCACCCAGTCAGTGGTTGCAGCCATGGAAATAAATGAGCAGCCCCTGGGAGAGCATGGATTCTGAGAAGACAACAGTGGTAAGAATGAGACATGGAGTATTCCAACCCAGCAGAGTGAGTCTAGGGTTGGCAATGATCTCCATTTGTCCTGAACTGAGGGGCTCCCAGCTGTAGGACTTCCGGCGCTAAAACCAGGGAAGCCCATGCAAGCCAGAACTAGAGGAGCTGGAGGAGGAGCAGTCCGAGCAGTGAAAATAAAACCAGGAGAAAGGGCGTCATAGAAGCTGGAGATCAGGGAGGGGTCAAGTGTGTTAAAAGCAAGGGACACATCAAGCGTTTTAAGACCTATAAGGTAGCTAATGGGTTTGGCCAAACAGAGTTCATTGGTGGCTGTGATGAAAGCACTCTCAGGAGAGTGGTGAGGACACTCTCAGGCAGAGGCCGAAGAGGTGGACCCTCAGTGTAGACAACACCACTGGACACGAGGAGAAGGGAGGACTGAAATTTAAGGGTCTCAAGGCCGTTGTGAGGTGCTCAACCAAAACATCTGTAGAAGGGCACTGACTTTACCCATCCTGTAGGTGGGAACAGGCAGTAAACGCAGTGACCATCCTCAGGGTCCCTTCCAGCCAGAGGGACTCAGAGTCTGACTGTTGGTGTTTGCACTCCTTTGGGACTGGTGAGAAGAAGGACGTGTGGGTGGAGCGCAAGCAGATGGGTCGCAGGCATGTTTCCTGGGCAGCTTCTCCCACACAGCTCTCCCTGCTTCGAGTCAAAAATACCCCTGCCTGGGGCCTGGGTGGACGTGGACCAGCTTCCCAGGGACTCACTCAGCCAAGTTTCATCTTCCTTCTGAGGGATGGTCGGTTTTTGGACGTTCAGGCCTGTCTCCTGTCATCTGTGGGTTCCTGGCATCTGTGCCCTGGACCTGCTGTGGTCTTCTCAGAAGCAGATATGGGCAGATTGATGGCCCATCTCTCCCACAACAACACCACATTCTGCAGCACGCAAAGCCCCTGGGGCTTTCCAAGAATTCCCCAGGATGGGCCTTGTCCATGAGGACCCTGCATCTCTCCCACAGGAGAAGGCTCCCTCCCACAGTCCAGCTGCTGGTCCTCCCCACCGAGCCTCTCTAAGACACATAGCAATGCTAGCTTCTACATTGGTATGTGCTGCCCTAGCCCCATGTGCTTCCCAACCTTCCGCCTTCTTCTTTTGTCATACACCTCAACAGGGAGGTCACAGATAGTGCCCCTCCACTGTTCACCAGCACCCTGCCCACCACCGCCTCTGCACAGATGCATAAGGGAGTCTGACAGCAGAGGCCACTCTCCTGGTTCCTATGATAGGGGTGAACCTCCAACTTCCTTTCTCCCCTGGGACAGTGTTCACCTGCCAAATAGCACCTTGCTTGTTCTATGAAAATCCAGCCCTGAAAGGCTAGGAAGCCCTGGGCTTCCTTCGGTGGTTGATGCCCAGCATTTGTGAGGCTCTGCTACATAAAGACTTCCCGAGCTGTCTCATGTGATGCTCACATCAACCCTGACAGTCGGGGTCACTACTATACTCATTTCACAGGCAGGGAGCAGGCTCACGCAGTTCGAAACTTGCTCAGGGTACCATAGTGGTGATGAGCAAAGCTAGCGCTGATAACCAGGTGTTCTGGTCACTAATAAAGACAATTTAAAAATCTATTCTGCAATGTGTACTAAGCACATACTAAGTGCCAGCACTGTTCTAGGCACTGGCAATACATCAGTCGAGAGAGCCAGCTTTCACGGAGCTCGCTGTTGTAGGCTTCCTCTGTGCTTGTCTTTCCACCTGCATCTTCCTGTTTAATCCTCCAAGCACCTCGATGCAGTGAACATCTCCAGTAGAGCCTCATTCTACGGAGTGGAAAGCACTTTGCCCAAAGTCCCAGAGCTGGACCCCAGCTCTGTCTGAACATTGAGTATTAGAAATAAATTCCTTGCTTAAGCCACCCAGTTATGGTGTTTTATTATGGCAATCTGGTAAACTATAAAACATTTGGCAAATCACTTAATCTCATTGAGCCTCACATTTTTCATACATTTAATGGGAATGTCAATACCTGTAAGAATCTAAGATTAATATTTAGTAAAGCAATTAGCAGTTTCTGGTACATACTTGGTGCTTAACTATTATGTGTAATTGTTATGGTTAGATTAAGGAGCATGACTTATGTAAAAGATAATAGAAGCAAAAGAAATGCTTATATGCTCATGAAACTAACCTTACCCTTACTGTATGCGATGCACTCTGATATTTTCTATTTTGTGGTGCTTGTTTTGTTCTAGGGGGGTTGTTTTTAAGGCAGGTTACAATCCACCAGTTACTGCACAGCCCTGACCCCCAAGG